AAAGAGTGGAAAGGAGCCCCAGACTCCTGGGTCCTTCCCTCCACTTCCAAGTCTCATTTTCCTGCCTGTAGCAGGGAAAAAAGCTCCTGTCTTCCTGTCCCTTGGACTGGGAGGTAGATAGGTAAATACCAAGTATTAACTCCTGTGACTGTGTTGGGCACTGGAAAGAGCCGCAGTGAACCCCCAACCTCGAGGGTACCCACCTTAGGGCCCTTGGAAGCATCAGGAAGTCTCCCACGTGGGAGATAAGACAGTCCTGTTTAATATTTAAACAGCAGTGTTCCCTAGCTAGGTCCTCTTATCCCTCCCTCGCTCTGGCCTCGGCTTGGCTTGCACGTCAGGTCGGCCAGGCCTTGCTTTTTCTCACGTCCCCTCCCCACAGTCATGAAGCCCAGCAGAGGCAGCCAGAGTTGGGAGGCTTGACCTTGGGGTCCCACAAATTCATTGGGGAATTTTTCTCTTTAACGGTTTTTGGGAGCATGTTTTAACACCCCTGGGAGCCAAGGCATCACTGACATCTCTTGTTTTTCTGGATGCCCTAAGAGTCACCCACAGGCTTGTGGTGAAAGCCCCACGCCCACCAGGGTCAGAATTCTGACTGCTTAGGGCTGGGCAGATGGTCGTGTATCTGCCTTGCTGGACAGGGACTGGGAATGTGGGCGGGAAAAGATGAGGGAGGATTATGTGAAAGGGTGTGTGAGAGGGAAGTTCAACTGTTCACTCTCCACTTCTGCCCCCACTTTCTCATTGTAGCCAAGCTTCATAATAAAGTGTTTGTCTCCAATAAATGTCTTTCCTCCTTCTTGAATCCAGCTGGTACCTGGCCAGGGGTTGGGGGGCAGGGAGTTGAATGTTAGTCAAAGGCAGAGGGCAGGGAAGAGGAGGTGCAGGGAGGAAGCAGGCTCATAAATGTTCATTCCTTTAGCATGTGTTTATCTTGCACCCACTCTGTGCAGACACTGGGCTAAGTGCTAGGGATATCGTGGTGAACAAAGCAGGCATGATCCTGCCCTCACGGAGCCATAGTCTAGTGGGAAAGACAGAAGGCAAATGGACTACTGGTACCAGGAGAGGAGAGTGTGTGGGTTTGGGGGAGATCCTTAACCGTCCAGACAAAGGTAGACACTGGCCTGAAGCAAGAGAGCACTTAGTGTTTGCATAGGGCTGGTCGGTTTACCAACTTCCATGAACTCTCTAGCCCATCCACACTCACAGGTGCCCACGAAGATAGAATCAGGAAGTGCCTTGTACAGATTAGGAAACTGAGTCAAGGTGAAAACTTGGGTTGGGACTCAAATTCCAAGCTCTACACTTCTCTCCCCTGTCCAGCTCTGCCTCTGATCCAGCAGGGAGCAGCCTCATGCCAGCCGGCCACTATCCTGTTTGTCTCAGCGCTTGGGCTGAAGAGGCTGAGCTCACAGCTAGGGAGGGGGTGAGGTGTGGAGACTGGAGGGGCTGCTTCACACCTCAGGTCTGAGGTATACCTCTCTGTGCTCTCAGCTCAATATAGTTGCGGTTCCCAGGTGCCGCCCCCAGACCCAGGGAAGTCCAGATGGCCAACCGGTCCCGTTCCCCCTCCCAAGGCTTACCCCATTCTCATCACCTCTCAATTCCTTCCCCACGTGGCTCCCTGGAAAGCAGGGTCTGGCTGAGCCAGGCTGCAATTCCCAGGTGTCTGGCTCAGGGTCATCTCTCTCAGGCCAGCCACGAGGAAATCAGGCCTGGAGACGTGCAGGGCAGGCCAGGCAGGGTTAAACAGGGCTCCTGCCCCTCAATGCCCCCAGTGCTCTTCGGGGGGACAGATCAAACTCCAGGCTAGTCAGACTCTGGGTGGGTTTGGGGGTTAGGAAACATCAGAAGAACAGGACACCCTACCCCAACGCCAGTGGGGCCTTTAGCCAAAACCTCACCCTTTCTAGTGTAGGTCTAACATGGGGGTGGGGGTAGACAACGGGCTGGTGCTGACTCCTTATCTCCCAAATCGGGACCGAGGAAGGGAAACTGCTCCCATCGCCCTCCCTGCCCCTACTCAGGGGACGGACATGGACCCTGAGGCCAGGCCTCTGCCCATCTCTATCCCTTCTCAAGCACAGGATGAGCCTCTTCCCCGGCCACGGCAAATGAGATTCCAAGACACTGTTCTCACCCCCGTCGGACACAAGCATGGCAGCACTTACAAAGGGATACACAAAGGTCTTTATTTACAAGTGAGCTGAGGTGAACTTCCCTCATATATTACAAAAAATAAAACGTACATATACATACATATACACACTCTGTATCTATAAAGTTCCTCAGAGGTAAATCTACTCTTGGAAGAGGGCAGGTGCACGGGAGGGGGTGTGGTGGCGAGACTGCCCTGAGCAACGGAATCGGGCTGCTCACACGCTTCAGGTACTGGCAGTAGGGAGAGGAAATTATGAAAGAGAGAGACTGAGAGACGTCTTAAAGGTTAGAAGTCAGGGACAGGGGAAAGATCTGGAAACTAACAAAGGGCTCTTACATCATGTGGATATGAGCAATGATGTCTCATCTTCCCTCGTTGTTCTCTCTTGAAGTGCCTGTGGCCGAGACCCTCCCAGAGGGCCCCTGCGGCCACTCCTGACCCCTCAGAGTGCAGCAATGGCTTTGGCAGCCACCTGGCGGCCCAGCGGCAGGCTGAGGTCCGTGATGGCCAGAACCACCTTGGGGCTGGACATGGCTGACACCTTCACCAGTTCCGATACCTGCCACAGACAGACAGCTGCTCACTGGGGCTACCTCGTGGTGGGTGCGATGTCGTGGGAAGAAGGGGGCCCCCTCCCTGCTCTGAGGGCTAGACGCTAAACTCTCAGCTCTGCTAAAACATGCTGACTCCCTCTGCTCTAGCAGGTGAGGCTAGCCTTCTCCTGACAAGAAGCACTCACCGTGGTAAAGGGCATGAACTGCAGGATGCTGCCTCGGCTGCCCTGCTCCAGGCAGTCCACACACTCTTCCATGAACCACTGCACAAACTGGGTGTGGGGGCCGGCAGTTCGAGACCCCAGGATGGAGGAAATGAGCAGGAACAAGTTGGCTGTGTGGGATGGGGGGAGAATGAGAAGAATTCCATGAGAAAGTCTGAGAAGAGGTTAGACTCTGGGAGGAGGGACTGAAAAGGAAAAAGCAAGTACTAAGAATGCCCCCCAAACTGGGGCTGTCAAATAGAGGAAATGTAAAAGGAAAACTGGAGGTGAGTCAGAAGAGGTGCTAAATGGGAGCCTGAGGAAGACAGGAGAGCCAGCAAGTAGGTGAGATGGAGGACACGGGTGGGGAGATGTGGCAGAGGTGGCAGAGGGCAGCAGGAGGCCCGCTGCCAGCTGGTGAGGCCTTAGCTGCCGTTTCAGGGGTGGGGGTGGGAGGACTCACCCAGGACTCGGTTCAGTGGGTCTCTCATGTTAACAGTGTGGAGCTGGGAAGCCGACAAGGAGCTGCTCATGGACCGGTCAGCTGTGGGGCCAAACGGAGGGAGCACTAAGGAAACAGCCTCCTCTATTCAAACCACCTTTCCCAGGGAAGCCCTGGCCCATCAGGTGTGAAGCGCCTGCCCAGGGAAGGTCCTTGGATCCAGAGTCGCAGAGGAGCCAGAATGCAGAGATCCCCACAGGGAGGTGAGAGAGAACACACACTGGCGAGCGGCGCCAGGTGCCTATCTGGGGGCTGTACACGGACTAAGCTGTTTAATCCTCCCACGTCCACTTTATGGATGAAGAAAACAAGAACTCGGATTTGTTAAGCACCTAGCCAAAGGTCACAGGGTTTGTGGGCGGCAGACCCAGCACCTTTCCTCTGCTCAAGCACAGAGCTGGTTCCCTAGTAACTAAAAAGGCCTCAGAGAAACTTCCAGGCTCAGAAGAAATCTCTAGAAACAGGAAAAATTAAATGCCACAGGAGCCCTTGGAAAAAAGAGGTAACAACATCTAGGGAAGTTGGGTAGGGGACGGGGGGTGCTCTTCAGGCAGGAAGAGTGGGGAGCAGGCCCAAGTCCCAGCCCAGGCCTGCTCCAAGCCTCAGGGCCTGTTTCAGGGGAAGGGAAGTCAGAGCTGGTGAGTCAACAGCACAGACTGTGCCCAAGGCAATGAACTCCCTTGGGTAGCCTATCATTGCCTCCACCTCGGGGTAAGTAAGGGGTTGGGAAGGGCCAGCAGTGTGCCCCAGGCTGGGACTGGATCCAGGCAAAGGACCCTCAACCCTGAGGGGCAGACTCATAGTAGTAACCTTTGGTCCTTCCAGGGGTACAGAGCACTAGCCTACAGGGAACAAAATGGGACAAACTGCCACACTCTCTCTGACCGGCCAACAAGGATGCCCACAGCTGCCGACCAGTGCTAAATAACTGAGGCCGGAGTTTCCAAGGAAGGGAGCAGCCCGCCCCACTCACTGGGACTGCTGGCGTCTTCCTCATTGGAGCTCAGAAGTCGCATCAGCTTCGAGGGCTGCATGTCATCCAAGGGGAAGAGGCTGAAATAATCCTGGAGGGCAGGAGACTCATGATCACCCATTCCTCGATCCCCCAAATTCCCGTACCGGGTAAGAGGACTGAGCGCAGATGGGAGTGGGGAAGTGCCAAGTCCATACAGGCCTCAGTCAGCATCTTCAGCGCGGTTGTCTTCCCTCTGCGTCTCAGTCCCTCTCCTCACCCCCTTCAACAAGCCTCGCGAGATCCACTCACACAGTTAACCCTGCAGACGAGTGACTAACAGGCTACCCAGGGGCAGGGAGGTACCTAACTGCCTTTGCCTGGGAAGGAGCCTCTTACCAGAAAGGGCTCAGGAAATGTCTGCTGCACAAACATATGAACAAGCGAACAGAGGAGTCCCCTACCTCGATGTCTTCACGGTGTCTCTTCTTTTGGCGGGAGGACGCCTGACCCTTGTGGGAGGAATAGGAACTTAGGGCACACCAGACGGCCAACCTGGAAAAGAAGTAAAATCAGAGGGGCCCCAAAGGGGGTTTCT